ACACACACACACTTTGGATTTTTTTTAAATATTCATTTTCATTTTATCTTTAATCCGCCCCTGCCCCGCTCACGGTATATCTTCGGCGGAGAATCATTCGCGTAATATTCTCAGGACTTTGTTCGCATAAGATCATATCAGAGGCTTTAAACTTAAAGAATTTGCAGGTAAAGCTTAATTGGACCATTTTTTAAAATATTATGCTGTTTTTTTTTGGGGGGGGGCATATATGCAATACTGATAAAACATTTCAAGGAAAACTAATACCCTAACTAACTAACTTTAGTGATCAGTCTTACTAAAATACAGGTTGAGTTTGGAAATCAGCTTGATTAGACAATTTTTACAAAAGTAATGCAGGTTTTTTTTCACTTTTTCAGCATATTTTATCGACCATTATACTGGAAGCATGAAAACTGTGACATATTTTGTTTTAAAACTTGTAGAACCAATTCTGTGTATGATCATATCAAGTTTGAAAATAAGCTTAAAGGGATAATATGGTAATTCTCCGATCTATACGAATGATTTTAATTAATTATTTTTGGAAGATAATCATTTTGTTCGTAAGGTTTGAAATGCAATCCGCAAAAAATTGCCACGCGTTCGTATCCTTTGAAATACGAATGGAATATGGCTGTACCGGAAGTTATCTCCACTTACCTACATCGCTAAGTGTAAGCATTACTTTCAGATTAAATCACTGCTTTTAGCACAAACAAATTATTCTTGCGATATTGCAAATCAAACAAACTAAACAAAAGTCGTGTATTCAAGTTAAAACAACCTCTTAATACTAAAGAGGTACCGTTTCTCCCAAGACAGGACAACATCGTTTTTCCCTGTACAGTTTCTACCAAGACAGGACAACATCGTTTTTCCCAACTTATGTCAAAAACAGACAAGAATATTTTCATTTCCAGTACATTAAAATTTTTCTACAGGAATCATGAACTGTATAGCTGTTATTTGTGTTGCATATTTTATTTATTGCGTGTTTACTTTTAACATGATATCACAGAGAGAAAATTTGCAATATTAATAATTTCACAACCTTCACCCCATAACATAAACTTCTTCCGCCAAAACAAAATGCTTGAAACTCCTCAACAACGTTAATAAACGATTTTACTTGATATAAAAATATCATCAGCTCAATTCAAGTCTATTTATGAAAGTCTTTTACAGCATATTCATTTGCACGTAATCAATGTAAATGTAAGTAGAAAAAAATGCAGAAGAACTGCAGGCAAATTTGTATAAAGCCAATGGAATCCACAAAAATTGACGTTTTCAGGTAAAATTTTAACTTGGCAATGTACCTATACATTGTCTTCAAGATTCCTCTGGCCTTATATATTATAAAGTAAAAGCTGAGTTGGCGCACAGGAGTGTAACAAGACATATGCATGGATGCACTGTGCCTGCAATTTTTTTGGGGCCAAGCATTATATTTGTACCACCAGCGTTAGCGCTGGCGGTACACATGGTTTCGGTTCCGTCCGGATCGTTCCGCCGGCTCTGCCAGCTCCGCCGGCTCCGCCGGATGGCTACCGTTACCGCTTCTCCTCCTAGACGGTAAGGGCCCCCGTACCCATCTCATGGATTTAGGTCACCTATAATCTCAACTCGTTCCACGTAAAATTTGGGCTTTGTCGGTATTGGGGTTTGGGTGTGGCACTTATTGCAATGCACCCTTGTCTAAAAATGGCAAAATTAAATGCTAATTATCTACTCTACGGAAGGAGTTATGGGAAAAATTTCTATAGACGGCTTTCCAAAAGTCATATGTGTAGATTTCAAATATACCCTTGGAATTGACCTTTGACCTTTACTTCAAGGTCAAATGGGCCAAAATTTTCAAAAAAATGAAATTTTTTACGAAAAAAAAATTATTTGCCCTGTTATTCAGACACCACACAGACTTAACCAATAATATTATTGGAAGGTGTTACCCTTCAGGTCATCTTTCATCTCCATGAATTTGGGGTCAATCGGTGCATTTTCACGGGAGTAGCGGCCATAAGATACCGAAACTGAAAACTGTCTCTAAATCGGGAACCGTTAATGCTAGAGACCCATTCTTTTTTGCATTTTGTAGAGCATGTAAAGCCCAACACTGGAGGTGGTCTCGGTTTTTTTGTATTCCATACGGTTTTCGAGTTACGCTGTATCAAAAAGTACATATTGGTGGTAAAAGCAAAATGTGCAGTACGGTAATGGATAATAAATTTTGAACTNTGAGACCATCTTCTGGGTCAGGTTATTAAGTTTATATTGACTGGTATCTATTTTTTTCTGTTGGAAGACCATCAAAATGGAGGATGGATCAACATAGATACTTTGTAATACTGTCAGAAAATACCTCTGGGTCTGCTCCTGTTATTGACAGTGTTACCCGTTGTGCAAGATTAAAATTCAGTGTTGACTGACAGTGCTATTATAAGCATTATTTATTATTGCATCAAAATTGACAAAATGACCTTTTTTGCATCTTTATTTTCTGTTTTTTGTCTGTACATTTGACAGCTTTGCTGCCTTGTTTTGTATTCCATACGGTTTTCGAGTTAAGCTATATCAAAAAGTACATATTGGTGGTAAAAGCAAAATGTGCAGTACGGTAATGGATAATAAATTTTGAACTCCCGAAAAATAAAACATAAGGCTTGGCGAGGCAGACAACCTGTGATCACAAATGACATTATTTCATCAAATTTGAACATCTGGAACTTCAGAGCACCTCCCATTTCAAGAATTTTGGCCAAAATGACCTTTTCTTTATTTTAATTAATTTTTTCTGTACGGAATTTATGGCACATTATTGTAACTCCAGAATTATAACATTTAGTCCCTTATATCTCCAAAACTGGCAGAGATAGGTCTATAGTTACTATTGAACTTGAATATGAAGTCATAAGAGGCAATTTACTGTGACCTTAAAATTGACCTTTGACCTACTTTTAACCATGAACTTAACTTTGCAAATTTTGGTTCCCTTTTATTTCCAAAACTGATAAGATACGCCCATAGTTACTATTGAATTTGAATAGGAAGTCATATACTGGCAAACTAAGTGTGACCTTGAAATTTATGTTTGACCTACTTTTTATCAAGAATTGAAGTTTACAAATTTTGGTTCCCTTTTATCTCCAAAACTGGCAGAGATAGGTCTATAGTTGCTATTGAACTTGAAAAGGAAGTCATATACTGGAAATTTACTGTGTTTTGAAATTGACCTTTGACCTACTTTTCATCAGGAATTGAACTTTGCAAATTTCCGTTCCCTTTTATCTCCAAAACTGGTAGAGATAGGTCCATAGTTACTATTGAACTTGAATATGAAGTCATTAGAGGCAATTTACTGTGACCTTAAAATTGACCTTTGACCTACTTTTAACCATGAACTTAACTTTGCAAATTTTGGTTCCCTTTTATTTCCAACACTGATAAGATACGCCCATAGTTACTATTGAATTTGAATAGGAAGTCATATACTGGCAAACTAAGTGTGACCTTGAAATTTATGTTTGACCTACTTTTTATCAAGAATTGAAGTTTACAAATTTTGGTTCCCTTTTATCTCCAAAACTGGCAGAGATAGGTCCATAGTTGCTATTGAACTTGAATAGGAAGTCATATACTGGAAATTTACTGTGTTTTGAAATTGACCTTTGACCTACCTTACTATGAACTGAACTTTGATTGTACCATTTTTAGTTATATATATTTTTTGCATATTTTGAGAATTCTTGTTGATTGCATTTTTTACAGCTTGTCAAGCACAAGACTGGTGGTGGTGTCCCTTTTTTGTGTGTGTGGGGGTCTATACGATCGCGCTTACCCCAGCTGGTGGTACAATATTCGGAGGCGGTATCGCCTCTCTGATCCTCTAGTTATTAATATTATTATTAAGTTTTATATTTTTGTAATAAATTGGAATAATTTGAAAACCTTAGAAAATAAAAAAATTAAAGAAGATCAGGAGTTGTAGATCCTTATGGTCCCATTTACACCTATGTATTTGTCAGGTTCCAGCAGGTCTGTTTATTCCCAGTATGGCGGTGGGTGCAATAATGGGGCGTATAATTGGAATAGGAATGGAACAGTTGGCTGTGTAAGTGACATACTTGATAAGAAATATCTAAAATATGTGAAGATTTTTTTCTATGGAAAATTTGTCCACAAGATTGCTAATCCATATTGTAATGATATGAATATCAAATTTACTTAGGAGATCTAAATGTATT